TTTTGGCCTCAATTGTGGTCCTAAATCGAGGACTACCTTCACTGGGGAATATAATCTCAAATCCTGATTATGTGTGTCATCCAACCCGGTGCAGAATTTAACAAGGAACAGATATATAGCTTTTGCTCAGTGTCTTAAACTCCGGAGGAGAAAAGCTTTGGAAGTTTGTTTGGCACGAAATGGACCATTGCAGAAGGCAGGAGCGCGGAAGCGTCGCCTCGCCTCACCAGCAACGCGACTCGTGTCCGCGGTCGGCCTTTCTGGACCGGGCGGCAATGTCCACCTAAGAAACGCGGGGTATTTGCCTTCCACGCGAGACTTTTTCAAGGGAAAGCAGCCCACCGCGCTTCAGCCGTCCTCGGTCCTCGCTTCTCTTTCCACCTCCCTCAAACTCCTCCGCCGCTGGCTGACCTCGCCTCGGGACTAGTAGGCGTCGCGGAGAAGAGAGACGAGGCGGTTCGCCGCTGAACCCCCAGCAACCTCTGTAGTGCTCTGGCTCGTTGTTTTTTTCCCCCCTCCTCTCAAAGCAACCCGCCTTCCCACAGATTTAACGGGCGGGATGGGCGCTCGCTCTTTACTTCTTTGAGGAAACAATGAAGTAGATTCGCGCTCTCTTCACACTTCCAGGACTCTAGAAATCGAGACCGCGCCCGAGGGCGTCTGTGGGGGCAGCGGCGGAGGGAAGCAGTCCGCTTGGGCCCAAGCGCACAGTGCTCTCCTCCCTGCCCTCGCCACGGCTTGGCAAACGGGGCCCCAAAGACACCCCCCCATATCCCCGCGGAGTGTTTGCAAGGTCTCTGGCCGCTTAGAGAGCCTCGCCGCCTGAGCGCTCGAGAACGAGCAGGGGAAGCGAGCGTCAGTCCCGCAGCCCCTCAGCAGCGGACGGCGCCGCACTACCGAGGGAATGCTGGACGGCGGTCGCCCCAGCCAAAAGAACAAGAGACACGTGCCCGCGGACACGTTCCTCTCCTCCTCCCCGGCACTTTCCGCGGCAGCGGGATAGTCTCCTCTTGCTCTAGCTTTTCCAGAAGCGCCGTTGTTTTTTTTACGCGCCTGTTCCCGCTCCCCCGGCGCGTCCTCGACCGTTCTCCCATCTTTGATCTGTAGACGCTCGCCGCAGTCCCAGTCGTTTCTCCATCTGGGCGGTGGAGGCTACCTCAGAAACGGGAGCATCCTCGGGGCTTTCCCGATTATTTCTGAGAAAGTTCTCCCTCGCCCCAAAGAGACGGTCGCCGTCGTTTCAACACTTCATTTGCCCAAACTGGAGCCCGGCTTTTAGGAGGACGCCGTCGTATCTGCTCCTTCCCTTGTAAAGACAGATACCCCCCCCCCCGAGTTTCCTCCCTCGCGCTTTCTAACACAGCTTCCATATATCGCCGCTCTCCCCACCAGCCACCCCAACTCATCCTTGGGTTTTCTCTCACACACTTCTACAAGCACCTCCACGATTGGGACTTCGGTCCCCACAAAGAAGAGACGGGGGACTTAAAACACACGTCCTGTCACCCCAATATTTCTCAGTCATCCTCAGTATCAATTCTAGGTGCTTTAAGCCTCCCCCCCCCCCTTCTGCCAGTTCGTACGAGTGTATCCATGTCGGCGGGAAAGCGAGGGACGGCCACTTGTACCCACACTTCTCGACAGCAACGGTGCCGATCGTGGCTCTCATCCCACGCAATACTCCCCCCCCCCTCCGTGACCGAAATAACCGCAGCTGTCACAGAAAACTCCCGTTCTTCTCAACTCCGTCTGCCCCGCCGTCGTCCCCTACCCGAAAGAAACAGCCTCCGCAACAGATGCTACCCCAGCCCACGAGCATCGTCCCCCCCCCATCAACGCCACGTCGAAAGACCCGGAGAGAAATCGAGCCGAAAACCCCTCCCCGGGCTTTTGACTCTCAATGGCCCAAGGTGAACCCCTCTGTCGCCCAATAACTACTACGGGATTAGAAATCCCGGTCGGAACAACCACGCCGAAGCAAATGGCAGCGTTTCTCTCTTAATGACCCCCCCCCCACATGACTTAATCTTACCAATTCTTTCCATCTCCAGTTCGGACACCCACCCACCCACCCCGAAACCCACCCACTCCCAGAGTTTGCTACGCTAACGCTAATTCGCCGCCGGCCAAGCATCTTTGCTCGCCGTGGCTCGTTTTAAACCTTCGGCAAAAGATATACTTGAAGGTGTGTGTGTGTGGAGTGTGTGTGTGTGGGGGGGGGGGCTAACCTTAGATGCCCCCTCCTGCCTCTCCGCCCCCCGGCCCACACCACCATCATCACACGAGGGTCCTGGGGCGGTCTTGCTCATTGGGCTGCCCGCTTACCTTTTTCAGCGCGGACATTCTAGTGCATTATTCATTTAGCGTATAAGTGGATTGCATGCTGCGTTCAACGAGTCAGGTGGAGGAGAAGCCGGGGCAGAAGGAGATAGTAGTGGTAATAACAGTGGTGGCAGTAGTGAAGGTGAAGAAGAAGAAGAAAAGAGGCAGAGAAGTATGCATAATAACATTATCCCCCGGGTGTATTTGTCTCATAGACTCGCGCGCGGCCGACACACATTCGGAAAACGGCGCCGCTGGGTAGTTCCCTCGTCGCGGTCCAGGCGCAGCCGGCTGCTCCGTAAAAAAAAAAAGCGGCTGTGCGCTGAGCCAAGCGGCTTTGCTCGCTGCTGCTGCCGCTGTCCGAACCGCTCTCGAAGCGGAATTCTCACGTTCTGCGCAGCCGCGCACGGTCTCCCCACGCCCTCCCTTCCACAGCTCGGCAGGCGGGGCGCGGTTCAGTCCCCGGCCAGGCAGCCCTCGAGGGGAGAGGTCTTCCCCGCCCTTGGAACGCTGGCGTAGGGACCGCCCCTTTCAGCGCAAGGGCCAATGGGAAGCCAGGGCTTCTGCGGATAGATACGCCCGGATGGAAAGAGGAAGCTGGGAGCGGGTCGGAGCTTCAGTGGCAGCAGCAGTAGGAGAACGTGGAGGGCTGTTTTCAACTTGGTGCCTATGCTTCTCCCTTTGTGAGGGGTGTGAGCCCTTCGCTGCTTTTGTGCGCCTCTCTGGGACACATGGCCTTGAACAGGAGGAGGAGAGAAGGTGAGGCGGCGGGGCGAGCTGGGGAAGCAGGCAAACAAGAACGTCACTATGCAGGAAGCATAGAGATCAAGCGGGGACGGGCTGGACAAATATCTCCCCCCCTCCTCCTCGTCCCAAGTATAGTAGTGGAGTTTGCTGTGATCGGTAGAGAAGTTTAGTTTAGTTTAGTTTAGTTTATTGTATTTATATCCCGCCCTTCTCCTTGCGGACTCAGGGCGGCTAACAGGCTGATAAAACACATACAAAATACCAAATACTATAGTTAAAAAACATAATTAAAAGAAAATATTAATACTTGGCCTATATTTAATTTAAAATTATTTTTAAAAACCCGGTTTTTTAAAGGCTTTGTTTGTGTTTTGGGCATGGATAAGGCACTAAAGGCTAACGAGAAGAGCCTCAAGACTTTTCTGCTGTTAAGGGGTGAGAAGATTGGAAGAAGCTGTGGAAAGAGGTCATCAAACAGCGTGGATGAGAGAGAGAGAGAGAGAAGGAGAGACTTTAGGTTTGCTCATGATGCCTGTCACATGGGTTGGTGGGCAAAGTAAAGTCCTATAGAAGTGAAGCTGACAAAGTGACACAGTAAGATTTATCTGTTTCGGTTCCACCTCCAGGTAATTCACACAGTTGCCAGGAAGCAGGATCAACGTGCAGGCCAGCAAATCTGAGGAATGCCATACCAGGAAAGACTGGACTCTGGTTATTAAGAAGTCACATCCTAAGATCCCCAAATTGGGGATTGCTGAATGTCAACTTGGCCAGAAAAGATTCCTTTCAATTGCTAAAGAAAACGTGTTTGTCATTTTTCAGCCAAGTGCTGAAACATATTTCAGGGAGTGATTGATGAAATTATATATTACTGGTTTTTATTTCTCGAATATTGCATCACATACATATACAAGTTTTAATGTTTTTAAAAGAGTGCCTGGGACCTTGAGATGAATTGATCTATATACCAGATAAAGCTAAATTGTCAGGAATGCAGCAAACCACAATTTTGAAATTGAAATTGTCCTATTTACAGAGATAGACCTACTATTACATAAGTGAGTCGGCCTCATCCAGAGTGGGTAGGNCCCCGAAACCCACCCACTCCCAGAGTTTGCTACGCTAACGCTAATTCGCCGCCGGCCAAGCATCTTTGCTCGCCGTGGCTCGTTTTAAACCTTCGGCAAAAGATATACTTGAAGGTGCGTGTGTGTGGAGTGTGTGTGTGTGTGTGGGGAGGGGGGGCTAACCTTAGATGCCCCCTCCTGCCTCTCCGCCCCCCGGCCCACACCACCATCATCCCACGAGGGTCCTGGGGCGGTCTTGCTCATTGGGCTGCCCGCTTACCTTTTTCAGCGCGGACATTCTAGTGCATTATTCATTTAGCGTATAAGTGGATTGCATGCTGCGTTCAACGAGTCAGGTGGAGGAGAAGCCGGGGCAGAAGGAGATAGTAGTGGTAATAACAGTGGTGGCAGTAGTGGAGGTGAAGAAGAAGAAGAAAAGAGGCAGAGAAGTATGCATAATAACATTATCCCCCGGGTGTATTTGTCTCATAGACTCGCGCGCGGCCGACACACAATTCGGAAAACGGCGCCGCTGGGTAGTTCCCTCGTCGCGGTCCAGGCGCAGCCGGCTGCTCCGTAAAAAAAAAAAGCGACTGTGCGCTGAGCCAAGCGGCTTTGCTCGCTGCTGCTGCCGCTGTCCGAACCGCTCTCGAAGCGGAATTCTCACGTTCTGCGCAGCCGCGCACGGTCTCCCCACGCCCTCCCTTCCAGAGCTCGGCAGGCGGGGCGCGGTTCAGTCCCCGGCCAGGCAGCCCTCGAGGGGAGAGGTCTTCCCCGCCCTTGGAACGCTGGCGTAGGGACCGCCCCTTTCAGCGCAAGGGCCAATGGGAAGCCAGGGCTTCTACGGATAGATACGCCCGGATGGAAAGAGGAAGCTGGGAGCGGGTCGGAGCTTCAGCGGCAGCAGCAGTAGGAGAACGTGGAGGGCTGTTCTCAACTTGGTGCCTATGGTTCTCCCTTTGCGAGGGGTGTGAGCCCTTCGCTGCTTTTGTGCGCCTCTCTGGGACACATGGCCTTGAACAGGAGGAGGAGAGAAGGTGAGGCGGCGGGGCGAGCTGGGGAAGCAGGCAAACAAGAACGTCACTATGCAGGAAGCATAGAGATCAAGCGGGGACGGGCTGGACAAATATCCCCCCTCCTCCTCCTCCTCGTCCCAAGTATAGTAGTGGAGTTTGCTGTGATCGGTAGAGAAAAAGGCTTTGTTTGTGTTTGGGGCATGGATAAGGCACTAAAGGCTAACGAGAAGAGCCTCAAGACTTTTCTGCTGTTAAGGGGTGAGAAGATTGGAAGAAGCTGTGGAAAGAGGTCATCAAACAGCGTGGATGAGAGAGAGAGAGAGAGAGGAGAGACTTTAGGTTTGCTCATGATGCCTGCCACATGGGTTGGTGAGCAAAGTAAGGTCCTATAGAAGTGAAGCTGACAAAGTGACACAGTAAGATTTATCTGTTTCGGTTCCACCTCCAGGTAATTCACACAGTTGCCAGGAAGCATGATCAACGTGCAGGCCCGCAAATCTGAGGAATGCCATACCAGGAAAGACTGGACTCTGGTTATTAAGAAGTCACATCCTAAGATCCCCAAATTGGGGATTGCTGAATGTCAACTTGGCCAGAAAAGATTCCTTTCAATTGCTAAAGAAAACGTGTTTGTCATTTTTCAGCCAAGTGCTGAAAAATATTTCAGTGAGTGATTGATGAAATTATATATTACTGGTTTTTATTTCTCTAATATTGCATCACATACATATACAAGTTTTAATGTTTTTAAAAGAGTGCCTGGGACCTTGAGATGAATTGATCTATATACCAGATAAAGCTAAATTGTCAGGAATGCAGCAAACCACAATTTTGAAATTGAAATTGTCCTATTTACAGAGATAGACCTACTATTACATAAGTGAGTCGGCCTCATCCAGAGTGGGTAGGGGGAAATGGGTAGTGACTTGCCCAAGGACAAGACTACCATGAATAAAGTGTAAAGTGTCACATGGTCTCCCAGTCCCCCCTAAATTAACTTGCAATTTTCAGATATACTCAAATAGCCTGTCCTGTTGTCAGTGTTAAAATAAGACAACAGTGGGATTTGGTATTTAAACTGGAAAGGTTGATAACTTATTCTTCAAGCTGCAAATAACATGCATCAGCCCTATAACTAAATCTTGGAAGATAAAATAGAGTGATCCATGTACTACCTACTAATGGAGTTGCATTATTCTAAAATTATGCTTGTAAATATGTTGGGAAGATTTTTGTAGTAAATCTTGGAAGTTTTAAATTCTTCTGGCTGGATTCAGAGGGAAATATCAATGAACAACCATTAGCCTAGTATAGGCCAAAATGCATTCTTGACTGCTATATATTTTTCTACTTTTTACCTTCGTATGGTGGGATGGCATTCATCATATCTGCTGCCATAAGGAAGTCCTAATGTGGAAGATGCAGAAATATGTGTTTATTTAGTATTTGTATCTCGCCTTTATTTTATAAATTAATCAAGGCAGCGAATGTACCTAATTTTCCTTCCTCTCCTGTTTTCCTCACAAGTCTGTGAGTTGGTTGGACTGAGAGAAAGTGACTGGCCCACCAGCCAGCTTTAATGCCTAAGGCAGGACTAGAACTCACAATCTCCAGCTTTCTAGCCTGGTGCCTTAATCAATGTCTAGGTCAGGGTTATCAAACTGCTGGTCCGCGGGCTGGTTGCATCATGCAGAGGCTGCGCCCACTCCAGCTCCAGCAACACAAAAAAAGTTGCAATATGTCACAACATGTCATGTGATGTGGCGAGTTTGACACCCGTGGTCTAGGTCATTATTCCTGTATAAGTGAGAAGTTTATAGAACCAGTATTATGGCAGGAACATAATGATATGATATGAGTGGAGCTGCATTTCCATGAAAATTATAAATTATTTCCACTGGCTCTAATATCTTCTGTGGAGCCTGACTATAAATCAAAATATTGTGAAAGTAGAGAATCTTATCCAGAGTGGGTGTTTTTTAAGGGGAGGGGGGCGAAGTTAGTTATAGTAAACCTCAATATAAGATATATAGGCTCAGCTAGATGGCAGTACCAAGCTGACCTTGGCTGATCTTTAAAAAGTAATCAGGGTTGGACCTGGTTAGTGTTTATATGATAGATATAAAGTCTTTAGGTTAGATTTGGAAAGTGAAAAAAATATCCTGGAAGAAGGCAGTAATGAATCTCTTCATATTATTTCCAAAGGAATTCAATGAAGATATGCATTATTATATGTGAAGATGTCTAATATAACATCTTTAAAAGCCATGGTTCTAAACACTTTGTATGTGTGAACCCAGCCAGAGAATGTAAACAATAATGGGTTGCTTGTTAGAGGAATAAGTCTTAGTTTGTCAGTAATGCTAACATTGGGAGTACTAAGTTATTATTTGTTCAACCTGTTCAGATAGTGAGAAAACCTGAAGAGTAGCAGTTGGACAGAAGGAAAGAGCATAAATGTGCATTTACAATATTAGTTTTGGTTATCTGTTAAATCTATTAAAAGGTTTCCTGTGTCATTTACAGTAGTTATTCCAGTGAAATTAGGAATGACAAAGAGAGCTAGATTTTTCACAATTTTAAAATGTAGATAAGGGTTCTTGAAGTGGTTGTAAAACAATAGAGTCATTTACCATTGGAACTTTGCTGTTGAAGCAAAGGAACACCTTATCCTCTGGGTCAGCAAAAAACTTAAGCAATGTAATTACTGTCAGTTCCACTCTTCCTTTACAGCTGTTCTGGCCAAATTATGTGATTCTAACTGATGGGTGTGCTAATACACCCTTCTGTTCGTCTCTCCAGAGTGTGCAATTCTTCCCCTTGGTAAATGTCATTTGTAGCATGGAAAAGCCAAGCTGTTTTATTTATTGATTCTGTGTCATTTTTGCCCATTGCAACATTTCATCTTGCAGAAGTTCACCATCACACCAGTTCAGGTTTGCACAAATCCGCCTCTGCCCTCAATTCCCCTTCTCTTAAGTTTTATTTGTAAGAATTTCATATATATCATTTGGAGCTAGAAGAGAAGATTGACCACATTAAGGAAACTGACAAAAACTGTTTGGAATTTGGAGATATTTACCTCTCCATTCCTTGAATTCTTTTGCAAAATCATCTCTTTTCAATAGCATAAGGGGTAATGAAATATCATGCTCATGTATAATGGGTAAATTGGGGAGAACAAGAGAAAGGGATGGGCTGGAAGAAGCAACTAGGTTTATATAAGCTAGGTATCTTTACAGGTACATTTTAAAAGGAAAGGGGGGACAAACAAAAGATCTGGTTTTAACTGAGAAGCAGCCGATGCTAGCCATTCAAGGGGAAGGTGATAAAACCATACACACCTGGTACAACACCCAGAGACAGGTGTTTTGCCCTTCCTTGTTTGTTTATGGCCTTCAAGTCAGTCTTGACTGCTGGCAATTGTCTGGGCATTTGCTGCAGTGTTCTTGGCAACACCTTTTCTTTCAGAAATGATTTGCCCTTCCCTGCTTTTTAGGGCTAAGAAAGAGTGACTGGTCTATGGTCACCCAGCCATATGGGATTAGAGCTCACAATCTCTTGGCTTTGTAGCCTGATGCCTTAACCACTATACCAAACTGGCTCTCTCCTTGCGCTAGCTGCTACAAAACAATACTGATTTTAGAGACAAAATCTAAAAGTGATTGGATATGATTTATGTACCCTGTTATAATGGGTCCCTGTCACCTTTGGTAGGAAAAGCTTCATTTAATCTGCACCACAGTGAATACAGACAGGTTTAATATTGGACTGAGAACTAGATAAGTCTAGTTTAAAGGAGGAATATGGGTTGCTGGAATATACTGGAGTCTGTTTAAACTTCCAAGTATTTTGTCTTGTTACTTCTGTACATTTTATGTCATCGGTCTTTTCTGCATGCTTCATGTTTCTCCTCTCAATGCCCTTTTAATTAATTTTCCAAATTAAAAATAATTTCTGCAGCATTATAATTCTTGGCTCCTTTCTTCAGGGAGACTGGAACAGATTCAACTTTCATTTGTACAAAATCAGCTAGCTCATCACAAGTCTATACAGATCGTAGAATTTTTACACAATTGATGTTGGTTATGCCCTTTTTCATTGTAGAATTTTATTTGCTTCTTATTTGATTAGTAAAACATAACTTAGAGCAGAACCTAAGGTAACAGAAAATTTAAACCCTTTTATTGCCATCACATATTTCTCTAAACTTTATCAAAATAGGCAGTTTGTTTTTGTATCCTATTTCTTGGATGAAGTATATTTATGGAAGGTTGGTTAATGGAAGGTTTCAGTACTAATCTAAGATATTTTTCTTGTTAGATATCATATGATATAGATGATGGCTTCATTTTTCTATTATGTTGTCCCTTCAACAGTAAAAAAAAAATAGCCATCTTCTACTAGCTTTGAATTTTTATCAATTTCCAGGGCCAGTTTTCTTAATAAGTAGTAATGCAAGAATGACAAGGAAAAGATTCTTTGCATTTATTATTAAATTGAAAACATTAATATCACATTTGTTTTTACATAGCTTATTTGTGAAAAACATACTTGTCTGAATTATGTATTAATAAATGTACATATTTAGTGTTTCTGTCAGCATACTTTATAGCCCAGAATTTTGCATACCTGTAGATCCATTTTTAAAAGGGGGAAATATGAAGGTGCTCTTGTATGCACTGACTATATATAGGAAAATGTTTCTTATTCACAATATAGAAATAACAAAGATGAGATACAGAGCTAGTTTTCAAATAAAGCTTAAATATCTTGTTCTTTAAGAACAGTTTTTAAAAAGATGCATTTGCAGATATGTATGTGAAAATACTCACAACCTCTCTCAGGTGTTCAGGGGAAGTGGTTGAGCAAGGGGTCTCATTGATGTTGAAGTTACTGAAATTTATGGGCATGAAATGTTACAGGAGATCCACATCTGGAGATCTGCACTGTTCGCCCAGATCTTTTTTGTTAAAGATATTGTTCTTATTAAGAGAGAAAATAGACAAAATAAAAATCAT